GCTCTTGCGGACTCCCTTCAAAAGGTTCACCTCCAGCACATTGAAGGCGCAGTAGACGTTGGTGGCCTCCCAGGAAACCACCAACAAATTTTTTCTGCACTCTGCAATGACGACCTGCCGAGCTTGAAAAAGCTTTTGGAGCCACCAGCGCCCCCCCGCCCCCCCTCGCCTTTCGCATGCGCTTCTCCCTCCTGGGATGTGGCAAGTCGAGAGCAGGAAGGGCCCCAAGCTTCAACCTGGAGCCTCCTAAAGGCGCCCGCGGATTAGACCCTAAGTGCAGCTCAGCCACCTCGTCGCCTTGTACGCGACGATCTCGTCCTGTCCCCAGTGCTCTGCGACAAGGTTGCGGGAAATCGCAAGGGCTGTACCGGGGCCGCGCCATCATTTTCTGACAGCTGGCATCAGCTGGCACCACTCATGGAGGCTCGTGGGAGTCCTTGGTCAGCATCTCTCGCGCGGCATCGGCAGGATCCGCCGGCAGAGCGCGGACCTCCCAGCACACGCTTCACGTGCCAGCACCGAACTGGATGAAAGCAGACTGAACCATCTAAGCACCAATGGGCAGCGATGCCTCCCGCTGCTGGAAGTGCTTGGAGTACTTGCGGCCAGTGCTCTTCATGGCCTGGCGTCCACGGAGCACAAAAGCCAGGAAACATGGAACCGTTGTTGGGCGATGTCACGAAAGCCACCACCCTGAAATCCGGAAGCCACCCGCTGGACAGAACTCACTGCACTGCAGCTCGGGAACGGAGCCCAGAAAGCAAGAGGCTTGACTCCTCGTCGCTGAATCTGCGACGAATCTGCGAATTCCCGTAACCAGCCACAGCCGAATCTAAGCTCTCAAAAAGGCCGACCCGAAGCGAGTTTCTACAAAAACGAAAGTATTCATTGTGGTCAAACGGCCAGTCCTGACGATCCGGCAAAATAATGTCAGCAGCATTCCGATTGATGCAGGCTTGCGTGTGCCGTGAGCAGGACACAAGACTAGATGCGCCCGTGAAGTCGGTGTCCTTGCTGCCTGCAAACAACTAGCTAGTCGACGTGAGCATCTCTGCTTCCTTCAGCAACAACCCACAAAACGGTGAAGTCAAGTCCGACTGACCAGCTGCTTCGGTAGATATGTCTCTGACTTCTCCAGCAACACGCCCTCGCACGGACCCTCAGGACGATCTTCTGTGCCGCAGAGTGCTTCTTGACACTCTTCAGCGCGTCAGCCTGCACTTTCGGTAGGCGAGTCAGTTGGGGGTTGTGCTCTAAGCTCTGAGAACCGAGCCTTCAGAGCCATCTGCGCGTCCAAGCCAAGGTTGGACTTGCCCTGGAAGGCCCCGAGATCCAATCCATTGCAGAACCTCCTCGGGAGCTTAAAGGCTTAACCCAAGTCTGTGGCTGTGCTTTCTTCTGGAGGTTTGGGCATGTTGGGATGTCGCACCTTCTAGCAGTCTTTGCGGCTCACTTTGCAGTGCTGGGACTTCTGATGACCCAGAGTGCTGCTAATTCAGGATTGGACTGCGGCAAGGCGCTTTGCTTTCGGCAGGGCCATGAAGCCAACGACACCCAGGCCCACTGCCAGAACGAAGGCAGCCTGAGGCCCAGTCTATTGGCATGGGAAGCTCCGTCCCCTTGCGGGTTTCAGGCGCTCGTGGTTTAAGGGAAGGGAAGCGCCGGGTCGACCGAGTCGGACAGCAGGCATGCGGGAACAGCGAGTCGGAAAAGGATCTTGACTCGAAGCAACGAATCCGGAACATGCCCGGGGTCCGACGTAAGCGTTCATCTCGAAACCCTAGATCGAAATGACGGGACCACTGACCCAGGAGTCGGACGGAGGAAAGAAACACTGAAAGTGGCCTTCTTCGCCCACCCGCGGGAGTTGGTGGAAGAGTTCTTCACCTCTCCCTCGGACTCCACATGGACGGCCTGCTTCCAACAGAAACTGCGATTGCACATGATTGCACACTGCGACCCTGCAGATGGATGTGATGAACATCAGGAGCCAGGCATGAAGCTTTGTAAAGAAGCATCGGCTGTAAGTCACGCCGCTTTGTCCTTCGAAAGGCGAACCTAGAGTAACTGCTCCGTCAGCATGACTTTGAAGATCCAAACTTTTCTTGCCGACCCTGTCATGAGAATCGGACGCTGAGCTCAACCCACTACTACCCTGTGGCGACACCTCCACCAGTGCACAAGGACGAGCAAGCCACAGACCCTACTAGCTCCTAAATGGACTCCCAAAAGTGTGGCACTAAAATTATGGACCTCGACACAGACCGCCTCGAAGGCAGCTTGCGGAGGTGTGGACATGGTCGCAGGATCCAAGCCGGGAAGGCCAAGGCCAAGGCCTGACTCCGGGGGCTGCAGTCGTTTCTGCTTTTGCTTTTGCACCCCAAAGTCTCTGATCCTGGTTGCCGAGACGCCACGACACCTCTACTCCTCTCCCTCATAACACACCCTGAAGCTTTCCAAGTAGTGCAGAGCCGAAGAGAGCTTCGCTGGAGTGTGCGGCTGAGGCACACCGCTGCGCAGCTCACGACAATGTGGCTGCAAGCCCAAACACAAGCGGAGATCGCTGCTACCAAGGACAGTACCTCCCGAACAAAGTCGCGGTCGCTTCTGGTTCTCCCTCGCCTTTTGCGGGACAGTGGAAAAGCGCTAAGTGGCTGCAACACTCTGAGCATTATAGCCGAGACCTGTCTCGAGTTCTCTTACTTGTCCAAGCTCAACACGTTGCATTCTTTCAGCCTGGTCTCACAGAAATCATGGTTGGACTTCTGTCCGTGTGGTCAGAGAAGCATCAGCCTATTAATTAGGCAAGGGTGATCCGCAGACTTGGGTCTTGAGTATTCTTGAGTCTGGTGTATCTGCCAGGCAGGGGACCCTCGTTTCGAATCGCCAAGCTTGCGGTTCCCAAAGCCTCAGCATTGCGCGCAGCAGCTTGGGCAATTCCGTTCTGCTCATCCCGCTTTTAGGGAGAGCATCTCGAGATTCAAGATGCTGTTCATAGATCGTAGCTACGATATTGGTTGCTATGAAGCTGTACCTAGCCTGTGAAAGCCATAGCCATAGCTGCACCGCATCCGATCAAAGCAAAAAGCGGACGAAGCCTTTGCAGCGCCCGGTGCCTTTACAAGAGAGAACCTCTAGCATCCTCACTCCTCACATTCATCGACGGTTGAAGATCCACGCAGTGATGCCTTGTCCTCGTCCATCCCACCATCGATAAGCTGCACCATGTTCGCCAAATCGGCCCTAGAAATGGCCGTGCTCGAGGCCGTAGCGTTTATGCCCAGGTGCTGCTCAAGCTTCTGTCGGATCGACTTGAGGTTGCTGACGGCGTCCTCAAGCTCCTGCAAGCGTCGAGGATGCACCTGCGGCACTGTGTAGAGGCTGTTGATCTTTGCCTGAATGTCCGCATTCCTGGCTATCAGGTTCTTGGCGCAGGCTGCATGCACTGCTGCACCGTACGGAGCAATGGCAGCAGCTGAAGTTGTGATTCCCGCGATGCTTGCACCACAGAGAGCACTTACATCCAGGAAGTCTTGGCAGTGCACCACAATCAGGTTGATGAAGGTGACGACCTGGCTCAAGGGTTGTTGCATGAAAGATGATACAGATCTAAAAAGAGTTGCAGACCACTGGCCCATCTTAACTCACCGCCTGAGAGATGTAGGCGACGGCACCACCGATGTCAACAGTGCACAAGGCCTGGCAAAGCGAATTCGAGTCCGCTGCCTCTAGCATCGCCTTTACTTTCGGTGTCAACGCCTGTGCGGCAGGCCCCGGGAGCCCCAAACGATCCAACCCATCTTATCCCATCTTGCCCAGCATTCCATTATGGGGCCTCGGGGATACCTGTGAGCTTGTTGATGGGCGACTGGAGCGCCAGGCGTCCACAGTTGCCAGACTTCGCAGCCTGCCGGAGTCTTGGCTTTTTCAGCCCTCCCAGTGTCAACTTCCCAAGCCTGGAAGATGGAGATACCCATGTTGGCGATGTTGCTGGCAACCATACCCACATCCACTGCGCACTGAACGCCGTTGCCCACCGTCCCTTCACCGATGAGCAGACGACGCTCTCGCACGGTCTGATCGCCAAGAACGCTGATCTTCGTTGTTGTGAGGCCTCACACTCTCATGTCTGAGATCTTGGTCCCCAACGGTCCCCAACAGCTGCAAATGTGAAGTCCACTGCATAAGCCGTTCGCGCCTTAGTATAACTTGCCGCCTGGTTGCTGGGTGGTGTGGGGGTGCAAGTGGCAGCAGCAAGGGAGGCCGTAGCTGCTAGCTCCCCCATGACGGAGACCTTAAAAAACGTTTTTCCGCTCACGTTGCACACGACACGACACGCGGGACTTCAGACTTCTTCCCTGGCACTTGGCAAGTCGGCCACGACTCTCTGTCTTCTTCTGTCCCCGTCGTCTCCGTCTCTCCTCCTCCGCCTCCCCTCCTTCTCCCTGCGCCTCTGCCTCCGCATCCTCCTCCATCCTCCTCACCTGTCCCTCCATGTATCAGGGCAAGTTGGCCGCTTCACGTAACCACTCATACGAATTTGTCTTGCATGTGGGGTGAGGTCACGAAATTGAAAGGAAGAGCAAGCAAGCAAGCTTGCTTGCTTGCTTCTTGCGAGGCGTTTAGGTTCAAGGGCTCCGAACCCACTCCCCTTGCAAACATGCGTTACTGTTTGGGTCAGCGAGACATTCGACGAGCCCCGAATGCAGCAGAGCAGCCCCGAACCTCCAACTCTAACGCTTGCAGCCGGGCCTGCTCGCTGGAATCGGAGCTCACTCGCAAGGTTGCTCTGAGAGTCCCGGGCATTGCCGGGTCATTCAGGGGCTCGATCGTTGCACTATCATACTCACCTATCGCACAACAGTCTTCTCACCGCCGAACTGCCGAACCCCACGCTGCTGCAACACTGGGGCATCAAGAACAACTCTACGCATGGCGGTCGGTAGTCCCGGGTCACTTTTGGCGAGACACCACGACAAGCTCTCTCTGTTTTCCCTCCCCATCTGCTACTCGAAACTGGTATCCACAAAATCCGAGTGACGAGGCCAGTGACACCTTCCGCAGGGCATGCAAATCAAAAGCTGAGATTGCTTTGCTGGTCGATAACATGTCCGAGTCCTTGCAGATATCTACAACTCTTAGGGTCCCTCCAAGCCTACGCCACAAAGCGCGTTTACCGAGATGGTGTCCGCGCAGTTCGAGGCCGCGAAGGACAGCTTGGCGGCCAAATTGCCAACCCATGCCACCAGGATAGCCCCGTCCACTTGGCACGCCAACTGAGGGCAACGGGAAGTTAAAACGATTTCAAGACGAAGTCAGCACAGTCCAAACTTGCTTCGCACACCTCTGATTCACCATCACGTGGCGGCGGGCACACCCTTATAATCCCATTGATGTCGTCACCCAGTCCCACAGCCGACACCTTACCACCAAGAAGATTTCACTCGAGCCCCTTTGGGCATGAGACCCAGCATGCTGCATGCCAAGGCCGTTCTGAGAGTAGCACGAAGGCTTCCAGGACATTGAAAGCGCAGAAGGCTGTCCGGGCGTCCGTGAGACGATCTTGCTTCTTACCGGCCTTGTAGGCCTTCACCTCATCCTTAATCGGTCGACCCCACACCCCCGTCCGGTCCGGTCTCGCCTAAGATTCATATTTAGTCTCAGCTGCGTATGACAGCATATCCCGCGCAGCATCCTCAGCGGCGGTGACCAGATCACAGACGAGCAGGGTCCAGTCCGGGCGAAGGAAGAACGTCTGAGCAGCCCACAGCCGGATTGGCAGGCAACTCCCTGACCTGAATCGCAGAGTCGGCGACACGCTGATCCGAAAGGGCCTCAGACAATCCTGCCTCACGCTCGCTGTACCGCTTGGCTTTCTCCTGAGAATGGATCCAAGAAGCAGTAGAATTTCACACAGCAGAAAGCTCCCCATCCTGGCCCGCCGACTTCATGGCCTTGAGCACCACGGCGTCTGCAAGGCTCCTGAAGACTTGCGAGGTCGACTACATGGAGTGCCAGTCGCTGCTAGCTGGGCATCTCCGAACAAAGCTCTGAGTCCTGTTTTTGATTCTCTTTAAGGAGGATGCCTTCATCGCGATGTTCGCTTCCACGTCAACAGCAGACTTTCCCTGCCAAAGATGCACTAGACGAGCCGCGAGAGGCTGCTTCTTCCGGGGACCCATTACGGCAGGCGATGCTTGTGACTCATTGCTTTGACCTGCCGGCTGCCTCAAGTTAGAGCCTTAGCGCTGCAATGCTAAGAACCCAAGCCGGCCTGCAGAGCGAAAAGGTTTCCGAATCGCTGCGGCTTGCAGGACTTCGTGCTGCGAAGCAGGAATGCCGAAGCGGCAACACCGACCGTAAGGAGCAGCGCTATCTTCACGACCTTGCGGCATTGTCAGAGGGACCACATCCAGGGCTGGGCTACCGACTCGGCACCAAGAGCAGCCACTGCGGCCATGATGCTCGCGAACGACGGGACGAGGAGTTCTTCGCCTCCTCTTCGGAGCTCTGGGCCTGGACTTCTTCAAAGCTGGCCATGTTCCTGCCAGGTGAGGGGTCCAAGCGTCCCCTGCAGCTCATGAGTCTGTCAACAGTCCTGGACATCTCCCTGGGCAGACAGCGGGGAAGTCCTGTGCCGGCTCCTGCCCAACCGATCGGCTTGAGCCAATCTTGCTACCGCCAGGGCCCTGAAGCACAAGAAGGACCGGGGCTTGTCGGTGGCTGCACACGGAAACAAGCTGCACTTCGGTGAAGGAAACTAAACCCTTTTGGCGTCTAACCAGCAACGGAAATGGGTCCGATCCTCAGCACAACGTGGACGCGGACCACCAAGGTGGGGATTGCTTGAACCGGCTAGGTGTAAGCTGTGCTCTGATGCCAAAAGAACGACTGGAACTTGAACAAGACATGTCTCTCGTTCCCCAATCCCCCCCTCCGAAAAGATGAAGATGGGCTTTGCCCTGTCTTCGGGGACCATCTTCGACGAACATTGATCCACCTCTGTGCAAGCAAAGTATCACTGTGAGCTGTGCTACGGCCTGGGGTCAGGAAGTGAGTGCCCTTCCAACGGTACTTTCCTTCCAACAGTACCTTTGCTTGCACACGAAGAGCTCCCCTTTGTCTGTGGGAGTGGTCCGGTCTAAAGGCTACACATGCCCACATCCTAGATCCTACACCCCGAGCTCACGCATCCTGGCTTTGCCATCAAGGAATTCAGCCCTGAAATCCCTGTGCCGCGTCATGGCAGTCTGAAGAATCATGGAAGGAGCGTTCAAGGGGAAACTTAAGAGCTCGAGACCTGAATACTGAACTCAAGCAAAGCCCAAACTCTACCGGAATATTGAATGAACATGCATGGGCTCTGTATGTATGTGCATGTATCTGGGTGTATGTGCAGGTATCTGGGTGTAAACCTGCATAGGTAAGTATATAGATGTATATGTATATATATATATACACATCTATATACTTACATACACTTGTATGTGTCTGTGTATGTAGGTACTGATGCGGGTATGTATGCATGCATGCATGCATGGGTGGATGGACGGATAGACGGATGTGAGTATGTGGGTGTATGTATGTCTGTGTCTATATATGTGCGATGTAGGTCTGTATGTATGTGTGTATGTATGTATGTATGTATGTATGTACGTATGTGTGTATGGATGTGTATGTACATGATAATAGAGACATGCGCATGTACATGCATGTGTGTACATATTTATGTATGTATATGCACCATATCCTACGCGTGCGTACCCATTTACATATACATACATACATACATACATGTGCGTATGAAACTCAGCAGGTCCACGCCTAAACAGAGGACATGAGGGGAGCTATTTGTGGGCAGAGCGCTCTTATGCAGCCAGACGCGGCTTCTGTGCGCAACCCATGTCATGGTCGACACGCCGTCAAAGACATGCTCATTCGAACCGCGAGTGCTTGGGGTTTCGCTCAACCTCGGTCGATGAAGGAGTTCCACCACTGTCCGGACCTCAGGCAAAGAATGCCAGAATTTCACATGCAAGACGGCAAGTTGCTGAACGGTTGTGCATGCTGGACTCTTCGAAGCATCGCTTTGTTTTCCATCGCAGAAGCGGTGCACATGACTCTGGGATTAGCAGACCTGACAGGCGGCATCGCAATGCAAAGTCTTTCAGGCAGGAACATAGCTGTCTTGGAGCAACCTTATAAATCTTGTAACATCGCGACAACCGCATGCCCTGCTCGGTCCGAAACTAATCGTACCAGTCGTCACCCGGCAACACTGCCACCTATCTGCGTAAGCCTTACATTGCTTACATCTCGCTCACAACGAACTTTCACTCTGAGGCACACTTTGCCGCTCCACCTTTCTCGGCACACAAGCACCAATGACGTTTCAAACACTTGAGCACACAATGTGGCTGACAAAGGAGATGAACACATAAGACAAGCCTGCCTCCGCCCGCCATTCAGAAAACCGCCACTCCTGTTGCAGCATGGCTGAAATGTATGCGGCATGGAAGGGCAAGGGAGCTGGTGCCGTGACGTCTCGAAGCCCGTGCGCGTGTCACACCAGCCTGCGATATGAACTGCTCATCGGGCATTCGAAGGACTTCGTCGACAAAGCTCATCAGCTGGTCCATGTTAGTGGTCCAGCCCTGCATCGGAGATGATTCGATCAGCGTCGATGATCGAGCACTGAAAACTTGCATAGCCGTAAACGCGATACCTCGCCTGCTCGAATGCTCGGTCGAAGAAAGACACATGAGGCAGATCTAAACTCCGAGCCTCCCATCCAGCCAGGTCCACAAAATCAGAGCCGCAGCAACACCGAAACAAAGATGGATGCTGGCTAACTGCTGCCTTGACCACGTGATCTCTGACTCCCTCAGTGTCCACCAAGCCTGCCAGCACGAAGCTTGGCTTCGTGGAACTGCCCAGGGACGTTCTCTCTATTTATCTATCCATCCGCCAACCCACCTCTTACCTTCCTATAAGTCCAGCATGTGTGTGCGTATGCGCACCGGGGCATACGCGCAGTGTCTGCACACATACAGGTATCTAAATATCTGATATGTGCATAAATACTACACACATACATACATACATACATACATACATACATACATAGTAAGTACATATATACATCATGTATATCTATATACCTCATATACACATATATTCATAATGTATACATACATAAATAACATTCTATACATATAAGCATACACACATATAAACATATAAACAGATATACATATATACATGCAAACTTATATATATATATACACATATATAAACATCTCTCTATATATTTTTTTACATAGACTTACATATTTTTTAATATGTCCTTTATATGTATATACATATATAAGCAAAACCAATATACCTACATACTTATATACCACTATACCTACATACGTATATACCATTATACCTACATCCCTATATGTATATATACAAATATGCATATACATATATGTATACATACATACATACATACATACATACATACACACATACACACATACATACATACACACAGACATACAAAAATACATATCTCTGAGTCTGTGTGTGTATGCACATATGTAGATATATATATATATGTAGTGTGTGTTTGTGTCCGCCACTTACTCACGGAAAGGCAAGTATAAAATAACGAATATCTCCATACCTATGTATATACACACACATGAAACCGAAACACAGACCTCTTATACATATGCTTGTGCACATATCTACATATACATACGTACGAACATATATATGTATATAGAGAGATATAGACATAGATACAGATAAAGACATAGATGTAGATACAAAAGGTTTATATATGTATATATATGTATATATATATGTATATATATATATATGTGTGTGAGTGTGCCGACCTCTATATATATATATGTTTGTATGCTCTCTCATAAGCACAGGACTGGACTTGGACGTATACCTAAATTATAACTATACCTACACCTACACCCTCAATTAGCCTTAAGGACCTATGCCTTCACATCATACATGCATATGTATACGTTATACGTATTCATATACACCTACATGTGAAGATGCATGTGCATATACAGAGATGTGTACTTTTGTACGCATGTGCGTACACGCAATGCACGTACGTAAGTATCTGCGTACCGGTGTATCAGAGACTGTATGTGAATGTACAGTAAGTATGTATGTACGTATCTAGGTATGTATGTATGTATGTATGTATGGATGTGTGTGCTTATGTATGTATTTGTGTATGAGTACTACGCTTGTACTAGCACTTACACTTATCCGTTTACTCAATTTCTTCTGCGAACTTCTGCGTCTGTTTTATGCGGTCTGTATGTTTGTTTGCGGTATCCCAAATGTGTCGTGCAAGAAGCTCCAACATCTGTTGTCTCAGTATGTTTGTAAAGGTTGTTAGCTATGAATTATGCTCCAACTGGTTGGGCATTTGCTTCCACATGACACACTGCACATCACAGGCCATGAGCGCAAATGATACTAGCTGCTGTCAGCTTTTCTTGCAACAATACTGCTGTAATCAAGAAGCAGCCGGTCGAGCCTGGGCTCAACGAACCAACAGCGACATCCAAGCCCTCAGCATTCCTGATTCCAACGATGCACACGCCCTTTGGACACAAGGGGACCGATACATATTGCAACACTGCTGTTTAAGTTGCTATTTCATGCTGTCTGACTCTAGGGCAGCTGCTGCACACTGGTTGCTTCGTAGGCTCAGCTGCTGGAACAACCGGAAGAACGCGGCCTTAGTGATTCCGTACCTGCGTCATGTCGAACAAGAGTGAACAGGTGGGCACAACGATGACGCTGAAACATGGGAATCGGCACCGGCAACATTCAGATCGCCACTGCAAACCTCGCTTACGACATCTGTTGGCACACGTCGCGGTCCCACGCTGCGGCCGATGCCTCCAAACCACCGTGGCATGCCATGCACACGGAGTGTCACGGAGTACAAGCATTGCATACTCTGGCTGTTTCTGGATGCAACACACATGAACATGTGCGGGCCCGTTGTGCTCAACTCGAAACGTTTGTTTGGCAACATGCTGAAGCCATACGGTTTAGAGAATGGCCGACCTCTCGTATTTTATGTTTCTCCTCGGATGCATCGACCTGGGCAGCGCCTCAACTTGTCTTTCGGTAACACCACAGTTGCGGTGCAAGTGCCCTTCCCGGAACACTTGCCAACTGCGAATCGCGCATGCTCGTCCAGCAGGCATTGTTTTTTGTCAAAGAAATGGCTATGCAATATTGTGGGACCAGACAAACGTACAGCCCACAAAAGCCGCCTGGTACACCGAACACCGATCATTCCATAACTTGGATTCCTAGGGCTGAAGGTTCGCCATGCCCCATTTAGTCTGGCGCTCGGCACTTGATCAATAGTCGTGAGTCTCGGGCGATGTTTGTGCCTGCGTTTGGAAACCGATTCATTCCTGTTGTGTCGGGTTGGCTTCCAACGGCTTGCTCGGATTATTTTTGTTCACGTCAGCTGCAAAACGAAAAGCAAAAACTGCTAAAATTTCAATCGTGCGAAAAAATGGTGGCCGAAAACGAGGAAACTACGAACAACGGGAAACCCAAAAGAGAGATAAAATCCAAGAAGTTCGCAAAGAATGACCTGTAACGAGCAAAATCGGACAAACCAGATGTCACAACGTCAAAACCCTACACTCAGAGATCGGTTGTCGAAATGGGCGATTCTACGTTTCCAAATTTACATGTTTCTTTGCCGCGGACTAGCGACGCCACCGATGTTCCAAGGTGAAGGACACGACCGCCATGTAGTCGAGGAAGCAAGGCCTTCGTAAACCCAAGCTGCTGCACGCACTCACACCCACACGCACACGCGCAAAGTCCGAGCGTCTCCTGGCCTTGGTCAAAGCCAGCGGCGCAACGACGTTGACTCGCAAAGCCTCCTTCCGAAGTGCAGCCGGCGTTTGTGCACCGAAGTGCAACACCGTGTTGCACAGCATTTCTGTCTCCAGCGTTTTGAACCTGACTTGTGCACGGGACGACGCTCGCCGAAGACACCCACCCTGGCACAGCACTTGCAAGCTGCGCAAGCACCAGGCTTTTTCTCTACCTATCTGCGTGCCCGAAAAACCAACGATGGCCCGGCCGCAAGATGGACGCGGTTTTATTTGGCACACATGCCAGGCTGACCGGAAGGCATGCATGCAGCCGCACACCCGATCAACAGCACGGCCGTCTGCTGGAAAGGCGTCGCGCAAGTTTTGCATGGGCAAGCCCTTGTGGTTGGGGTCGCGGTGTCATCTGACCCCGTGCAGCCAAACTGCGCGTGCATGGCCGGTAAGGCACATGATGGCGCAACAGGAACACGGCAGGAGCACATTGACAACCTGCTGGCGGCTTCGGCAAAGCGACATGCCCGGGGTGCCGGTAAACTCACTGTGTCAGTGCTGAAAGGTGGGCCTGCACACTTCCGCCCCGCCTCGGTTTTTGTTGCCGCTGCGGCGAAAGGTATGCCCCGGTCGACGAAAAGATACCAGTGCACGGCACTGCCAGCTGGTGTTCCGTTCACGAGAGAATGACCAACACTGCTCAGGACGCAGGGCGAGTTGCCACATGTTGTCACTGACGGTCCCCCCACTTGCTTATGCACAACCCCACCATGCGGCCTCGTGCGACCAAGCTGCTCACGCATGTACGGCTGCACACAAACATGCCTGAACAACTGCTTCCGCTGCTTCCTTTTGATCTAGGGCGTCCTCGAAGTGGTTGAGATCCAACTCTGCCAGGGGCGCTGGGTCGCCAATGGCGGCATTCTGCACCTTGGGCGGGCTGGGTGCTGTCCCCGCACATGGCTGCTGCATATCACATGTAACTCGTTGAGTTACCATAGCCAGGTTGCCAGCAGCGACACCGACGCTGTGGCCGGAAGTGCATCGAGCAGCCTTAGCCGACGCAAGGTCCACGGTTTTTTCCCCTTTGCATGCTTGTGAAAAGTTTTGCTGAATTTGCGTATCGATGCTTTGTCCTCTCATGCGTTTCCTGCTTTATCCCGATCCCTGCCTGCAATTCTGAAAGGCCTACTGTCTCAAGGCTCAACTCACAATGCAACTTCAATCACACTCGGGCCTTGTCCGACCGACCTCCGTGCCAATGTCGCAAGCAACATAGGTTACAGCCTCTGACGACAGCAGCCAGCTTGATTGCACTGACGCCACGCTCCCCCTCCTCTGGATTCGTTGCAGTCCTCTTCGTTTCTTGCAAAGCCTCCTCGCGCAAGCGAAAAACAGACAGCTCTCGGCTCGGCGCAGTGATCCAAGTTGCGAATGGCCTCTCTTCTTCCGCAGCAGAGCACCGGCCCACGACTGCTGAAGTGGCTCACGAGGCCTTCTGCCCACGCTGCGAAGAGCAGAATATAGCAGAATGCTTTCCAGCCTCGACCGATGCCGGAGCCGCCTCCGGTGATCACCACCCAGGCCATTGGACGATGCAATGACAGTGCTGAGCACCAAGAGCCAAATCTAGAAGCTAGACTGCAAACAACAAGAGATGCTTTCGACTTGGCTAAAGCGCCCGCATGCTATGTTACAAGGTTGTTGATTGGCCTACTCTCCTCCTCTGCGAGAATGCAATATGAATATGATGCCACGGTAGCAGCGGAAGCGAGAGGGAGCAAGAATGCATGTCTGCTCTCGAGATGGCAGCACATTAGAGAGCGCTCAAAAGCGAAGGACTGAGAGCAAAGCTGACCCCGCTGCGGGGCCTCGGCATCGCTGCCTGCAAAATCGTTCGGCGAGCTGAACATTTGGTCACAAAGAGCCTCCCTGCAACCCTCGTGTCAATATTGCATGAAGAAGGAACTTTCGGAGAACTTCCGAGGAATTCCTTCCTGCCCTGACATACGCCTAGGGGCCTAGTCAAACATCATTCCCGACAGCCTCCTATCAACATTCCAGAAACTGGGCCTTCTCCGCCAGGGCTTGCTGGAACCGGCAGGGGAGGCTGCAGCCCCTGCTTGAAGGCGAAGTTTCGGAGGTGCTTTCAGTATTTGGAGACTGCCCAGGAACCATCCGCGCTCGGCAAGGGGGACTTGCTGTGGGCGGAAGGCATCTAAGCAGGGCGTCGAGAAGGGCAATACCGATGCCGGCGATCTGGACACCAACTGCGACAACAATGACCCCCAGCGCCATACATTGCGACTACGGAGGCTCACCGGTGCCCACAACAACCAGAAAGCAACGACAAGCCTGCAGAAGTGCTCCATCCCCCTAGTCAAGAAGCACCTGGGGGGATCGATCTCCTCGACACCAGCCGCAGGAGACGCCCTTCACCTGTTCTTGTACGCTCGTGTAGCCTCTGCCTGTGTCTGCGCAAGCTTGCATACAAAATGGCATGATATTCCATGGGCTGGAAGCCGGAAAAAGGAACCAAGCAGTGCAGACCGTTTTAAATGTATATCCCATCAACAGGAACATGGAATGCAACAGAAAGTTAGTTGGATGGATGGATGGATGGATGGATGGATGGATGGATGGATGGATGGAGGGATGGAGGGATGGATGGAGGGAGGGATTCAGAGAGGGAGAGAGGGAGGAGGGATGGATGGATGAATGGGAGGATGGGATGGGATGGGACGGGATGGGACGGGATGGGACGGGATGGGATTGATGTATGGATGGAATGCAGATGAAGTCCCGAAAGCCTCCGTAGCACTCGTGGGCGGGACCTGGACATCAAGCAGGCGAGGTCTACCGGATAATCTCGATCTTGACACAATGAGATGCCCGTGCTATGGCCGGCAAAAAGCCAAAGTGTACTCTTCAGCCTCTTGCAAGCTCAGGCTGCGGCCAACAGTCGTTGTGGCTGCAGGGGCTCTGCTGCCGGAGTCGTCCTGTCAGCATCGGGTTCTTGCTGTTGCAGCAGGATGCATCCTGACCAGGAATGGCCCAAAACCTACACCGGAGAACTCAACACGCAAACAATAATAGAGACACCTACACTACCGGTGTGAATACGGTACCTGATACGTTGATCCTGTCATTCTCAATTGGGCATGCTAGAACTTCGGACCTGCGAGCCGGGTCCTAGAGCCGTTCAGGGCTAGCGGCTTTTGCGCTGCAGGCTTGAACTCTGTACGGTTGTTTCGGTTTCTTTCGGGGGCTAGGGTGTGCAAGACATGATAGCCTGCATGAACGATCTAGTGGAGCTTGAGAACTTCAATGACTACGGCAGTCTCCTACGATTGCCTCTCCAATTCGATTTGTGTGGGTCGTTCGTGCTATACTGGCCGAGCGCCGTCTCGGTGAGTAGACAGTCCTTTCCAATAACCTTCCCTGCTCTTTTAAGCCAACCTCGACATCCCGGCAAGTCTTGACCCTGCTGCCAGCCTGTAGTCTTGCTTACCTCACTAGTTTCAATGTCTAGCCTGCAGCACGAGCCTTTCTGCAGGCCAGATGTGCAAACAAGCACAGTCTTTTGCTTCGCCCAAACCCGCAGCCTGAACCCCAGCAAAGAGAACAAAAAACACAGATACACAAACAAAAGACACAGATGACACCAAAAACCAAGACACAGATCGCCGAAAAACTTGGACACGGGAAGCCATTCCTTGAAACATGAAACCTAAAAGGAGAAAAAGGCAGGGACAACGCCAAAAAAAGACACGGATAACGCCCAAAAAAAAGACACAGATCACCCCCGTAGAAGCCCAGCACCCCAACCCCAGAAACCAACCCTTCAAATTCGAAGCCCAGCTGAACAGCCGAGGCTCGGAGGGTGGAAGCTACGATGAGGCGAGGCTGCCTCATCGCGAGGCAGAAGATATGCCGAGGACATGCTGTCGGTGGGACAAAATGAACGAGGGAATACCTTGCTGAAGGAAGGGCGCTCCCTAATTACTGGTGTCTTTTTCGGAGGCCGACTGTCAACTGTTACACCAGTACAAGGTGGAAAGACACAAAGTCATCAAGCAGGGAGTCTCAGCATGAGCCTGCGGGTACTGCAGCGCCGGGACTTGGGACGCTTGCGCAGCCTGCGCAGCCTGCGCTGCTTGCGCCGCCTGCGCAGCATGCGCCGCCTGGGCTGCCGCCTGGGCTGCTTGGGCAGCCCGCGCTGCTTGGGCGGCCTGCGCTGCTTGGATGGCCTGTGATGCCTGGGCAGCCGGAGCTGCATGGTGTGCCAGTGATGCTGGGGTCTGTACTATCTGTGCCGGAGCGTGCGCTGGTGCCTGGACTCCCTGGACCCCTGCTGACAGGATTCTGGTTCCCGGCTGCCTGGCACGAAGTCAATCCATCAACTCAGGAAGGAGGAGGGAAGAGGTGCGCTTCACTACGCTTTCCCGTGATAGCCCAGCAACAGCCAGGGTACTCATCATAAAGATCCCGTGGCGGTGGAGGCGGCCTCAGGCTTTCACGCCGTGCTCACATTTTTCTACGTCACCGGGCCCTTTCATTAGGGAGGAGGGCTCGTGGAGAGCATGAACTGGAAGAGGCTCGCGAACCTGGCATGATTGGCACGGCCTACAGTCTGTGAGTCAACTGAGTTTCAGTCATACTCCGGGAACCCTCGAAAGGACCATGCTGGAATTGAAACGGCGAGTACTCTGCACCTGCCCCGGCTGCTCCACGGACATTGCCTCCAGATAAACAGGAGATTGGAGGCTACCCCTAGGCTCCTGAAAGCAATAGCAAAGAAAGGGGAAGGGTCTGGCCACTTCAGCATCAAACTCTGACTTTGAACAGACCGTCATGTTGGCATTAAGCCAGACGGTGGCAGCCAGAAATGCACACCCGTCTAAACATCCGCTAGCCAAATGTCCCTGATGTTCCTGGAATGCCTTATCGAGCGGACGTCAAGAATTTAAAGATAGTGGTGGTAAAGGGCTTCTGCATGCTCCGCTCCGAGGAGACTTCGTGATATGTACCGAAGGCCAGCAGCTCAGCCTCTACCCTACGGTTTGATCACGACAACAACTGATAGGATCTGATAGGCAAAAGTTAAACACGCATCCCGAGACATCCCCCGCTGCCTGGGCTGGTCCAAGGGGAGGGGCGAGCGAAGAACCTCGGCCGACAGGGCTGTTGATGCCAGGGGTCTAGAGTTGCTGGGAGGCTTCGGTATTGACACTTCTTGCTCGGCGCTAAAGCACTGATGCTCCAACAGCTTTGGCTCAGGCATCTCACCTTGGGAAAGCGATATCCAGCGGCATCGTACCAGACCAGCACAGAACATTTAGCGAGTTTAGTGCCGTCGTCGCTCAAGGCCATGGCATCCCCTCACCAATCCGCAATGCCAGCCCAAGTAGGCACGGTCGACATGTCGCACGATCGCATGGTGACTCCACAACCGTCTGGCACAATACCGACTCCTTGGGCGCCTTGGGCTACTGGTCGCGAGACACACAGTGGGTCAATGGGTGTGGAGTACTGCGACGGTGACGATGGAAGTCTGAGGCTCAGCTGAGCCTGGCTGAGCTTCTGAGCCAGCCGGCAATTTCTGGCTGCGGCGTCGCGCACTTCAACTGATCCCAGCGCTGGCCTCCGGCAGAGTCCTCTGCCAACCAGTTGAGCTCCTTCCAAGTTCCCCAAGCCGGCACTTCCAGCGGCAGGCCGCAAAACATGTTTCTGAGCAGGGACGCTTGCTCATCCGCTAGAGCAGTGTAGCAGACTTCCGAACACAACCGCCAGTAGCGAGTTTCTGGACACAGGTACAATGCTGCTGCAGAGTCGCATTCGTCACAGGTCAACAGTTCTGGAACCTCGCAAGGAGAACGCTTGCGAAAGACGTAGCATTCCGCGCGCATGCTTGGGAAGCAAGGCAACGGAACACGATGCTCAAGCACATACCGGGACCGCAACGTTTCGTGGAAAGACTGAGTCCCAGTCATGCCTGTGGACCACTCACCAACGTAAGCCACGTAATTTCCACGAAACTGCTTCAAGGCTCTGTCTGCACAGGCAGGTTCCCCTGGAGGCGGCATGCACAACAGCAGCACATCGCACGAAAGCTTCCTCAGGGAAGATGCATCTCCAAAGTCTACCTTGTGCATCTCATCGCCCTTTTCCTCGGGTGGGTCGATGTCCAAAGCCACCACGTGGACACCCCGGCGCCGCAGCAGCGCTGCCCAGTATCCCACCCCAGCTCCGAGCTCCACAAGCCCTCCTTTCCGAGAGTACTTCTTCAAAACCTTCAAAGCCCTAGCACTCGGAACAGCAAAGCCATGGCATCTCGCCGATGCGTCTCTCCCAGCCAGTTGCCAATTCAGCACAGCCTTCTGGAGTCTGTTCCGCCTCTGTCTGTCGGTCGCGTTCGTCGCTGCATAGAGTTCCACGAGGCAGCTGGCCTCCAACCAGCGCGCTCGCAGGAAGCGCAGCGGCAGCGGAGCGGCTTTCCACGGCGGCCCAGCACCGCGCAGCAGCCAGGCCTTGCGGAAGTCCCAGAGCACCGCCCGCTTAGTTGCACGCTTTGTGGATAAAAGAAGGCTTTGCAATGCCGCGCGAAGCTCTGGTTTTCGCTGCAGATGGCATTCGCAGGCTGCTTCCGAGAGCTCCGCGGGATGGCGAATGTCATCACCGCCTCGCCCACGCCAGAGCCTGAAGAGGAGTTGGTCGAAGAAGTCCAAGTGCCGGAGCAGTGTCTCAACGGACTCCGTGCTGGACTTTCGCTTCGTCAGCTCCTTCGGCAGGCAGCCAAGGCCAGCGTTCATCCACTGCGGATCCGCTGCGGCCAATACCTGGAGCGCTTCCTGAAGCTTGTCTTCCAAAAACTGCTGCCAATCTGTCGCTTCCGCTGAGGCAAGGCCAATTGCCCAAGACAGCCGCAAGGCAGCAGCCGCAGCAGCCGCGAGGCGCCGTGCAGACTCCACGCCCAGTGGCGTCGCCTTGGCCTTTGCCTTTGAATGCTCCTTTTGCACCCGTGCGAAGAGCTCCTGGCCCAAGGCAGCCGGTGGAGGCCAGGTGGGTGCCTCGGCCTCGGGCCGCGAGAGGCTCTGCATTGCCTCTTCCGCACGGGCAAGCAGAGATTCCATGGCGCACTTTGCACTTTTTCTTCGTTTCTTCGGCCGTGTCTGCTCCGTGCGATCGAATGACTTTGGAATCATTGGTGGCCGGTCAGGACGCGGACAGACGCTGGTGAAGAACGTCCTGGGCCGACAGTCCTCCACGATGCCGTGTTCTGTTCCAGCATGCCCAGCGCTCCTCTTCATGGCAGTGTTGGAATGTCTTGGAGGTCCGCGCGGTGCGGAGAGGCGGAGGTGAATGGCGGTGGTTTGAGAAGCTGTGCCAGCTACTTCAAAACACGACCCGAGGCTTCTCTTTCAAGCGACAAGGCTGGCAATCACGATTCGGCACTTCGTGCCACGACGACCCATGCTCGCCTGCGTGCAGATGTTTTTACTCCGACATGCGCTTGCAGCCAGCCGGAAGCCGTCTTCAAGGACAAGTGCGCTGGCACGGACCACAGGACCACAGGCCTGTCCTTTGCTGCTTTGAGAACTGAGCTTTCCGCGTATGCCGAGTCCTTCCGGGTAGGGCGGCACGGATCTGGCAGATCGGAGTCGAGTTCGCGCTTCCTACAATCCCCCCTCTCCTTCAAACTCCATTCAGCTCCGAATGTGCTGTTGAAAATCATCGACCCATCAAAGCTCCCGGCTTACGAAGAGTCCATGCAATCCGTAAGGATGCTCAAGAAACTGCCTAGCATCGTCAACATCCTCGTCATCCTCATCAGCATCGTCATCATTTTCTTCCTGACGTTCACCAGCGACGAAACTCACTGAGCTTTCTCTTACTTGTATCCTGGATCCTGTTCATACAGGCATGCGCATCGTTGGTATGTTTCCGATCTGTCTGTCTGCCTGCCTGCCTGAGTGCATGTACGTCCAGACATGCACATACTGCACATACACATACAACGTCGGTCTTGGTACTGCGACTCAAGGTAAGTGCCTTCAGTGTTGTAGCAGATCCCGGCTGTGTTTGCAACAATAGCACTATCAGTAGCCTTGGTAGCATTTGGAACGGGTAGCAGCAGCAGCAGCAGCACCACCACCACCACCACCACCACCGCCATCACTACCACTGGTGGGAGTGGTGGCAACTAGTACTACAAGTAGTACTTGAAATCCTACTGATACTGGAAACACTTACTGCCAGCACTACTAGTCACGACGACCACCACGACGACGACGACCGCGACAACGACTACGACAAAAAAGTAGTCGCAGTAATTTTCTTGTTCCTATTACTACTTGGCGTCGGAGCATTGGACCATCCGAGGAGGGGTGAAACGGCCTGTCGAGTCCATTACCGGTATCCGGTCCCTGGCCTCAGAAGAGGAAGAGCAGCGTTTCATGCCGTGTGCAGAAGTCTGAACCGTAACCAAACCCTCGGCAAAACATCTCGGACGCCACCGATCTTGGAGCCCGTGGCGCATATTTCATGTCTCTGAGACTGATGGGCACTGCTTGTGGTACGAATAGTATCACCACGGTTGCTACTGCTGCTGTTTTGGCTGAAGAGGTTCAGTTCCACGTCTCTGGGCACCCAGCCATTGCTAATCGCGGGGGGCCTTCAGGCAGGAAAGACGGTCACAGGTGTCCTTCCCCGTCCTGCGGCCCTACAGACAGCAAAGGGTTCGTGGAAACAGTTTGGAAAACGGACGAAAGGTCCCCTTCGTGAACAGCTTGCCGGAAACTCTCGGATGTTTCGACGGCTTCATCTTCCCAACTTCCAAACACTCCAAAGCCCGAACGGCCCGAACGCCTCCTAAGGCTATCCTTGCGACACCAAGCCCTGGCGCCTGTCCATGGGCCATCGCCCGTTACCTGGCCAGTCAGTTCAGCTCTTCGAACCGGGCATTTGGCGGTCGACTACATACCGCGAAGCTGACGGATAGCTCCCAGTCCGTGCCAAAATTCGGAGAAGCCCTGCTCAACTGCCCCAGGTCCTTGGCGCACCTGGGCTCAAGCCACCTCGACCCGCTGTCGAGAAGGCCTCATCATGATACCATGACAACAGTGATGGTTGCAGTGATGTTGACATGGGCAGCAACGATGGCGACAACAAACTGACATCTAAGAAGACAGGCAAATAAATCTACCTGTTGTGGATGATGATCTTGACGGCAGTGATGAAGATGTCGCTGAGGGTGGTGATGGTGATGGTGATGGTGATGGTGACGGGGACCATGATGATGATGATGATGATGATAAACATGACTATGACGATGATGGTAATAATAACGGTGATGATGATGATGATGCTGATGATGATGGTGACGACGATGATGTGTGTGTTCATGACGATGTTGATGATGATGATGATGATATTGAAGATGTGATGCCGTCATGATGATGATGATGATGATGGATGGATGGTGATGATGATGATGGTGGTGGTGGTGGTGGTGGTGGCGGTGATGGTGCTGATGCTGAGGGTGCTGATGGTTATGCTGACGGTGACGGTGATGCTGGTGCTGGTGCTGAAGCTGGTGCTGGTGCTGCTGGTGCTGGGTGCTGCTGGTGCTGTTAGCAGGTGCTGCTGGTGCTGCTGGTGCTGCTGCTGCTGCTGCTGCTGCTGGTGCTGCTGGTGCTGCTGCTGGTGCTGGTGGTGATGGTGGTGAGATGGTGATGATGATGATGATGATGATGCTGGTGGTGGTGGTGGTGGTGGTGGTGGTCATGGCGGTTCTGGTGGCGATAAGTCGAACGGTGAATGATGCCAAGTTATACATCATGAGCGAGAATGATGCAAGGGATAAATAGAGAATTGGCAGTCGCCAACAGGACACAACATTGATACCCCTATGCAGAATCCTTCTTGTAGCTAGTGACTCAGCAGGACGAGCAGTCATCCAGCAATTAAGCCATGCTAAGCTACTGGTAATTTGACGGTCGGGGCCCTGGTGAGAGGAGTAGTGGTAGTACTCGTGTTGGTGGTGTTGCTGGTGGTGATTGTGGTGGTTGCGGTGGTTGTGGCGGTTGTGGAAATAGCAGTAGTGATAGCAGTAGCAGCGGCAGCAGCACCAGCAGTAGCAAGTAGCTTCAGCTGTAGCAGCAGCGTTATGCTGAAACCCTATGGTTCTGACGCTCTAGTTTCCATCTTGGCACCGTTGAACAGGCCAATCTTGGACTCCTATTGCACACATTAGCCTTGTTGCTTGGGCGTCTCATAGGCTCTTGCGAATCTCAAGCCGTTGCTGACCTGACGTTGCGGATTATTACTCGTAATGTTCCAACATTGTCAGCAGTGCCTGACAATCGAAAATACCCGGATGAGGCCAGCACAGGCACAGGCGAGCCACCATAGCCACCCGCGGACTGCAGCAAGGCTTGAGCTATCCCTAATGGAGCGGCCCACCCTCAAGAGACCTGGGAAAGCTTTTCCCCCTAGCCTGGCCTGCCACGAAAAGCACTCACTGGCACAAGTGACCAAAAGTGGGCCTGCAAAGTGATGCTAATGTTCAGGATTCCAGTCTGCTCACTCTTCTTCCAGAGTGGCACAGGAACCTGCAAAGCAAACCGCAGCAGCCGGCATTGAAGGGATGGTTTTCCGAGTCGTCAATGGCCGTGTCGGCTGGTTCTCCTGACTTTCAGTTTTCCGGCTTGCCTAGATGACAACACCTTACCATCGTATTTGGTATCAGCGGCAAGACGAGACTACATTCTTGTCTGCCAACACCTAAGACCTAAGGGACAAGATCCACGAGCTACCCGTACGAAATGTACGGCACTTGCACCCTCACTCTGAAACTCTGGAACTTCACCTCGACACCCCTTCGCCCCACCTCCTGCGTTCGGGCCGTCGCCCGTCTCCAGAGGTTGTCTAAGTCAAACTCAGCCTGGCGCTGCAAAAGAGGCCACCTTACGCATGCTCTTGGAAGCCTCTAGCTCTCCCTTTTGAAAGCTCAATGAAGCCCTTCTGGATTACGAGGCTTCGGGCGCCAGAGGAGCACGCTGTTGCGTTTGGAGATCTGCGGGCGCCTCACCACAAAGCACGGCGCTGCGCCACACGTGGTCAATGTGGACCTGCAGGAGGAATCAGAAGCCAACCGCCAGGAACGACCCTAGCCCTAGCAGACCCCGAAACACAAACCTCTTGCCGCTACTCCGACTCCTCCTACTCCCCCACGCCTGCCCTTCCTTCAGCTACTCCGCCTTTTACTCATCCCCCTCCCTCCTCCCCCTAATCACCTTTACCTACTTCTACAGGGCCTACGAGACTTTTGCCGCTCGGCTGAACCTGCCGAGCTGTTGGTTCCAGGTTTTACCCTACTTGTGCCACTTGCAGTCAGCGGTCTTCGGTCCTACTAGTAGCAGCAGTAGCAATATACTAGCACTAGAAACAATACCCCGGCCCAAACCCTAAACCCTGAAACT